ACACACACACACACACACATACACACACATACTAAACCATCAGGCAACAGTTTAAACATCAACAACTAAAACTACATGTACATGTTTTTACCTCCTCGGGAATCTTCGCGGATTTCCTGTATTCGTTGGCAAAGAACAGGGCCTTTTTCAACCGTGGGTCCTTCGTCTCCCTTTCTTCGTACCGCTCGATAATTCTCGTGTACTTGTGGAGTTTCCTGGACAAAGTCAGTGTCTTGTTTTGACTATCTTCATACAGGTTGAACATCTTCTGGAGCTCCTCGAGCACCGTCTTCTCAGTGAAACTCTGTCTGACGGTCAACAAAGCCTGTAGGGTGTTTCGTTAGCTTAGTTTAGTTAGAGTTTTCCTGCGCTCACAACTGCATAAGGTCATATGAGCGCGCGAAGCATAAGTTGACCGCATTCACAACAGTTCTCAGCATGGCTTGGTTTTGTCTATTGGTCAGGTTTAAAAAGGTTAAAAAGTTCGGTTTTAAATGCAACAATTTATATTTCATTTAAAATAGCAATATCTACAGATTTGAGTAAAAGCCAATGACCTTTATAAAAATCCAAAATTATGTTGAGATCAAAGACGGAGAACAGTTTTGTACATTAAAATATTTGCTTCGGGTCTCTCAAAAGTCAAGTTCATCCGAGGTTCAGTTTAACCATTTTGGTGGAGACCTAGAAACAGTAGCTACGCGAAGTGATGGGTCTGTCTAGGGTGGAGGTGGGGAGGGGGACAACACAGCGGGCGAGCCTAGACTAGAGCTCTTTCTTTCGAACTAAGGTTGCCGTCTCCAACGCCGAGCTGGGATTGTCTGCCGATGCCCGCAAATAATTTTATTTTTACAGCATGGCGACAGTGACACAGTTCTTCGCTTTCACTCATGTTGGGAGTTCACTTTATCCGATTTCCCCACGAAACCGGTTCATTTTATCCACTATTTCTTTTTACTTAAACAAATAACGTTTTAATAGGGACCACAATTAAATATCGTTCACTTTAACCGATTGTTCAAATAAAGGGTGTTCACTTTAAGCGGACTCCACTATATTATACTATATAAACTATTGGATCATGAAGGCTGAAGGGATCTCACGCTGTGAACCAGGCCGTCGTCGATCTCGGGCACGGGAGGGGGTGGAGTCAGCGTCTCAAGGCGTGGCTCATTGTCATCTAGGATGTCAACGAGGGACTGTGACATGTCATCTCTGTCCAGTAAGGATGCGTCGTTCTCATTCTGGGATGGCAGAGGTGGACACACGGG